AAAGAATATCTCACAGGAGGTGCTGATAATCTGTTATGATTGGAACTTAGGGAAGTTGTGAGAGATCAGGTTAGAGAAGAACCAAAGACCAATTTTTGAAGAGATCTCTATGCCATGCTAAAAAATATATATATCATATAAGGAGATTTACTCAGTTTATGAGAATAAGCACAATAAATCAGTAATATATGATGTGACAAATGACATCATCACCATGACATCCAGAAATAGTTCATTAAGTAGATTAGGAGGCCATTAAGAAATTTTAAGCAGAGGAATGAGTTACTGATTTTCTTTTTAGAAGACCATTTCAGTGAGATTTTGAAAGATATATTTTATAGAAAAATGGAGGCATTAATACTAGTTTGGAAACTATATTGAGTCACTAGGTGAAAACTGATAAGAGCCAAACTAAGTTAGTTATAGAAGAAATTGGAAAGAAGGATGAAATCAGGAGCTATTTATTTAGACTCCTTGACATGGTAAGTATATGCTATACGTAATTAAATCATTCCACATATTTTAAATAATAAGAACTGTTCTGGGGCCTTGGCATAGAAGGAAGAATGAAAAGGGTTTCCTGCCTTTGGTGAGCTTATGAATTGGAGAGAGTACAAAAGTTTTATAAAGAGATAAATTATATGCAACATAAAATCTATTATGTATATTGTATACAAACATGTGAGAACATAGACATACTTGATTATTAATTTGACATTGGGAGATCATGACATTTAAGTAGGATGATAAAAGAGTTCTAAGAAATCTCCCCACCCCATGTATGTGGAACTGTACTTAAAGCATTTTTATTATATTCCTATCCATTTAGTAATAAACGTATGTTCCAAAAAAAATCTGAAATGTTAAAAAATGATGAAAAGGTTACTACAATAAAGTGCCCATTGTGGGTATAAAAGTACTAGATTATTTGTTTCTTTCTGAGAAGCATTCTGCAGGTGAAGTGATAGAATTGTGTTTTTCACATCTGTTGTTTTATGTGTTTGTTTCTCTACCTGTTTCCTTCATTTTGTCTTTCTGAGCTGTTTATTAATTTATTTACTAGGGCATCAGCAGCTTGAAATCTTTTAAGAAGGAATATGTGTTAGTCCATTTTCTGTTACTATAACAAAATAACTGGGACAGGCTAATTTTTATAAAGAGGTTTATCTACCACACAGATTTGGAAGCTGAAGTTCAAGATTGGATGGCCCCTCTGGTTTGGCTTCTGGTGAGGGCCTAATGGTGATGGTACCATGACAGGAATGTGTGAGAGGGAGAGATCACATCACTGACCAGAAGTCAGAGAACAATTCAGAGGTCAGTTTCACTTTGATAACACCTCACGCTTGTAAGCACTCAGGGATCCCTTCAAAGCTGCCTTGGTCTTTTCCAAGGACACCCTCCTCAGTGACCTAACGTTTTTTCACTAGGCCCCATCTCTTAAAGGTTCCATCACCTCAATTATTACACAGGGGCTGAGATTCCAACTCATGAAACTTTGGGGGACATACTCAACCATATCCAAACCATAGCAGAATGCAGTAATATATTCCATTATAATCACTTCTCGATAAGAAATGGACACTTGTGATTAGATTGTCTGTCTGTCTCTCTCTGTTTCTCTGTCTTTCTCTTATTTTCTTTCTTCCCTGAATCCCCCACTAAATTGTAAGAGGAAATAAAAAGGGCAGAAATAAGAATGGGTGAGAAGTTTTAACAATTGGAAAGAGTGAAGGTCTTCTAACTGAAGAAGCAGTAAGCTACAGAAGAGCAGATATGATGTGCAACAAGTGAGGTATCCTCATAGAACCGTAGGTAGATGTGTGTTATGGAGACTCCAGGAATCTCTGAAAGCTCAAGTGAGGTGTGAAAACAGATTAGTTGGAAAATGGTTACAGGAATGGTTAGTTTTGCAGATAGTGTATTCTTTCCTCTGTAGCCAAGTAAGTTAAGTTTTTGTCTTACCGGTATCTAAAGGTATATTTTCTGGAAGAATTAAATAAATACTTTGAGTTAAAGAATATCAGTACATTAGAAGAGGGGATGAGGTGCAGAATTGAAAGTTGATTGAATAAAACGTAGCAAGAAGCCGTAAATGTAATGTTGAGACAAGCCACCATCTTGTGTGATTTTCTACCAGGCACATTTCAGCTGCTTAGGGAAATGTATGGAGTAAGTAAATGGTTGTACTTAACCAGCTGAGATCTTTCCAGCTGAGTCTGGAAGATCAAAGGAATATAATTCCAAAAGGAAAAAAACCTCTGATGTTTAGGAAGGTCCTATGATGTTATTTGTAGTAGAGTTTTCCAAAGAAACTGAACCAACAATTTATAAGCTCTGTGTACACACACATACACTTGTATATACATCTGTATATGTACACACGTGTATGTGTATGTTTAGTATATATGTGCATACATGTATACACGGTCGTGTGCCACATAAACTTTCAGTCAACAGTGGTGTATTGAACTGTGGTCTCATACAGTCATATCACTTAGTAATGTAATAGCCATCTTAGTTTGTGTAGGTATGCTCTGTGATGTTTGCACAATGAAACTACCTAAGAATGTATTTCCCAGAATATATCCCTATCTTTAAGTCATGGATGATTGTATGTGCATATACAAATTTAAATACGTGATTTTGGAGTCTGAGAAATTTTGTGATCTTTTGTCTGCAAGCAGGAGACCCAGGAAAGCTGGTGTATAGTTCTGAGAATGGAGGGCTGATGATGTAAGTCCCAGTGTGAGGGCAGGAGAAGCTCAGCATCTCAGATAAATCAGTGAACTGGGGAGAGCCCCCTTTGTCTTGTTTTCTTCAGTCCCTCACTGGGTTCGATGATGCCAGCTCATATTGGGGAAGATAGTCTGCTTTACTCAGTCTGCTGATTCACATGTTAATCATTCAAAAAACACGCTCATGGACACATCCAGAAATAGTGTTTCATGTGAGTGCCTTGTGTCCCTGTCAAGTTGACACAAAAAATTAATTACTATGCACACATAAGAGTAGCCATTACATTACTGAGTTGCCTCGTACATTAAAAATCATATTTATATTATACACACACACACACACACACACACACAAACAGAATTTGCCATTGAATCCACAGAATTGTTTTTAAATCTGTAGGTAGGCATTAAAGGTAGGGATGTTATTTTTGCTTCATCATTGTTTTGATACTGATATATCACTCCTTGCGGCCCTTTCATACTTCTGATATGATTTTGTCCTTTATTTGATAGATGGCTGTTTTTTTTTTTGTTTTGTTTTTGTTTTTGTTTTGGTACCAGAGATCGAACTTGGGACATTGAGCTTTTGAGATAGGTGGGTGGAGAAACCACTGAGCTAAATCCCTGGCTCAAGATGGCTGCTTCTTAACAAACTAAGAATATATCATAGCACATACATATTTTTTTTAAGTTTTCAAAGACAAAATAATCTTTCACTAGTGATTTTCATTCTATATTCTTTACTGGTCTCTGGAAACTTGACTCAATATTTTTCTTACCAATATTTTAGTAAGGATATAGTTTTCATATCAGATAATAAACTTCATAATAATATCAGAAAGTTTCTTTTGGTGCTTCAAATTATCTTTAAAGTTAACTGTTATTCATTAGACTGCCTATAAGATACTTACTTATTCTGGAAATACTAAGGTAATTTGTTAGACAATTTGTACTAATAATAAGATACTCTTAGTATCCTTACTCCTGACACACTAGGGATTGAAACCAGGGCCTTGCACTGAGCTACATCCCAGGATACTCTTGGTTTTATTTTAATTAATTAATTAATTAATTTATGTACTGGGGATCAAACTCGGGTCCTTGCACTTGTGAGGTAGGTGGCAGAACCACTGAACTAAATCCGCGGCCCTCTTGGTTTTGTTTTGATTAGTCTCGACTGCTAGTCTTATTCAAGGCTAAATTAGGTCCTTAAGGAATTTTATATTATCTCTAAGGAATTATAGAGGCATTTAAATTGGACTATTTTTACTTAATGGATATTGTTATATATTCATCAGAGAAGCCCCATTTGAGGCTTTTTCACACCACTGATAATAAATGTTGACACTGGATGGATTAATCCATGCTTTTAGGTGGAAGATGACTGGAATCCAAATACATTTATTTATTTAGGTACCAGGGATCAAACTCGGATCCTTGTGCTTGCGAAACAGGTGGTGGCATCACTGAGCTAAATCCCCAGCCGGAATCCAAATGCATTTAGAGGAAAAACAATTGTTTGCCAATAAAACTCTCAGCAGGCTTTTGATAATATAAGAATTCCAGTACTCTGGAAGGCTGAGGCAGGAGGATTTGAGCCCAACTTGTACAATTTAACAATTTAGACCCTCTGTCAAAATTTTAAAAAAATAATTTAAATAATGGGCTGGGGGTGTAGCTTAGTGCAGAGGTCCCAGTACTGAGGGGAAAAAAACTCTGTGTATATGAAAAAGTCATACAGAGGAAATTCTTGTAAAGCAGCAGTTTTCCTATCTTTGGATTCTTAGAAGTCCTATTATAACATAAATGGTATTTTTATGTATTAACATAACTAAAATTACTAGGTAGAAAGTACCTGCTCTTGGCATTTTCATTGTATATTACCACTTAAAAATAAGTGTATAGAAATTCTTAACTCTTTTCTTGGCTTGCTTGCTTCTTGCTTATTTGCTTATTTATTATTTATTATTTATTGGTACTTGGGATCAAACTCAGGTCCTTTGTGCTTCTGAGGCAGGCAGCGGAACTACTGAGCTAAATCCCCGGCCTTTGGCTTATTTAACTTCTGGCCTTCTTAGATAATAAAATTTATGTGCTGCTGCCTTCTATGGTGATCAAGTCTTTGAGTCTGCAAGGTGTAATTGTAATTTATTGTTGTACCTAGTTACTTTTATTTGTCTTCTGTGATAGGTTTATATAGTGAAAATTAGAGCTTGCTTATTGTTTTAGCAAATGTAATGAACAATCTGCTTTTTTCTTTAGGATCAAATAGAGCATATTGAATCAGCAGGACTAGCTGGTGGTGCAGCAAGCATGAGTAAGCGCGGAGTCTGTTCCTTATCACGTGCTTAAGGGGAAAAAGGTAAGGAAGCCAGTGTTCTTATTTTTCTTAGAGGTTAAACTTGAGAAAAACAGCTAGCTTTATAGAAAATGATGATGTATGTGTAAGGGGTGATCAAAATATATGCTGAAGCATTAATTACAGTAAAAGACACATTTCCACTAATCTCAATAAAAATACTCCCCGCTTACCTTGACTACCCTTATTCCATCATTGTTGCCACTTTCTAAAGTAGTTCTGCAAATTCTCTTGTGCCATCCAAGAGCCATACAATAGAAAAGTAGGCTTGTAAAAACATTATGTGGCAAACCTTATCTACTTTATTCAACAGATTTGGTACCATGTTGGCTCCACACTAAAGTTGAAATGATCTTGAAAGGTAATAAACATTTTGAGTCAATTTAGGACATCGAGGCAGCCATGACAGTGCAGCTAAGGACATTCATAAAAGAGAACTTCAAGAACTGCTTCAGAAAGTGATAAGAATGATGGGATAAATGTGTTTGAGATGAGGGGGAGTAGTTTGTGGATGAATTAATAGCAATGTGTCTTTTATATTATAAATTCAAAAAATAATATTCATTGTATTTTTTAATCATACTGCCTATCCTGCTTGCTTTACCTGTAGCATTGTCTCTTGTTAAATAAAATGTGTAATTTTTCAAAAAGATTTTATTTCAATCCAGAGCAACAGAGTACATTACTGTTAAATTATGACAAAACAGTGAATTAGTCAGATTTCTCATCACTGAGACATAACTAACCTGACATGCACAACTTAAAGAAGGAAAGGTTTAGTTTAGCTCATATTTTGAATCTGTGATCAACTGGTTTGAAGGCAGAAGCATCAAAGGGGAAGGATGTGGAGGAGTAAAACTACTGAGTTCATGGTGGCCAGGAAACAGTGCCAAAGAGGAAGGGATGAGGTACTCCATATACCCAAGGTAATGCCTCCATGACCTGCACACACTAACCCAGGAGAGTGCTTTACTAATTTGCTAGGCGTTTCCTTTTTAATTTTTATTAGTACATGTTTGCAGTACATAATGTTTATATTCCTTGTGTGGAGTTGGTGTGTGCACATAACACATCCCAATTCCTTTTTTTTATTCCCCCTCCATCTTTTGTTCCTCTTCCCCTTTGGAGAAAGATCTATCTCCCTACTTCCTATTAATGATCTTTTATTTTGTTCTTTATTTATAATTTAAATTTCTTGTGTAAGAGAAGCCATGCAATAAACATGTGTGCCTGATTTATTTTACTTAATATTATGGTTGTAAGGTGCATCTATTTTCCTGCAAATGACTCAAGTTTATCCTTTCTTATGGCAGAGTAATATTCTATTGTATATAAATATCATGTCTTCTTTATTCATTTATCAGTTGATGGACACTTAGGTTGCTTCCAAGATTTAGCTGTTATGAGCTGTACATATGGATATGCTTGTATCACTGTAATATGATGTCTTTAACTCTTATGGGAAGATACCTAGAAATGGAATTTGTTTTTAGTTTTTTGAGGAATCTCCATATTAATTTCCATAGTGGTTGTACTAGTTTATATTTCCACCACTAATATAGAAGGATTTCTTTCTCCCCACAGCATTTGTTTTTATTTGATTTCTTGATATGCCCATTCTTTCTGGGGTAGGATGGAATAACAGTATTGTCTTAATTTGCATTTCTCTAATGCTTACTGATGTTCATATATTTGTTGGCCATTTGTACTTCTTCTGAGAAGTATCTGTTCATTTCACTTGCCAATGTTTTTTTTGCTTGGGTCTTTTATTTTGGGGGTCTTTTTTAAAAAATTCTTTATGTTTTCTAGATATTAGTCCTCTGTCTGAGGAATGGCTGGGAAAATTTTCTTCCCTTTATGTAGGTTGCCTTTTCACTCTGTTGGTTATTTCTTTTGGTGTGTAGAAGCTTTTCAAGTTTTTATATACTATACTATTTCTTATGCTTCCTGGGGTTCTGTCCAGAAAGTTCTTGTTTGTGCCTATGCATTCAAGAGTTTCACCTGTTTTATCTTCCAGCAGGTTAAATGTTTATATCTTAACATTTAGATCTTTGATCCATTTTTATTTTAGTTGAATACATAATGAGATATCAGGGTCTAGATTCAATCTTCTGCATGTGGTTAGCCAGTTTTCCCAATGTCATTTATTAAAGAGACGATCTTTCCTTCAGTGTATATTTTTGGTCCCTTTGTCAGAGATCAAATAATTGAATGTTCCATTGAGCCTCTTGTTTGTTTTTGTGTTAGTACCATGCTGTTTTTATCACTGTAGCTTTATAGTATAACTTTTAAGTCTGAGATTGTGATGCCTCATGTTCTGCTTTCATTACCCAGGATTGCTTTTACAATTTTGGCCCTTTTCTGGATTTATATGAATGATAGGATTGTTTTTTATCCAGTTCTGTGAAGAATGTTGGTATTTGATTGGGGTTGCATTAAATCTGTATATCAAATATGGCCACTTTGACTATATTGGTTCTGCCTATCCAGGAACAAGGGATAACTTCCCGTTTTCTGATGTGCTTTTTGATCTCCTTTTTCAGAGTACTGTAGTTTTAATTGTGACTTCCTTAGGTTAATTTGTAAATATTTAATTTTTTCTTGGTGCTATTTTGGTATTTTCCTCAGTGGGTTCATTGTTGGTATACAGTAATGCTATTGATATTTGTGAGTTGATTTTGTGCTCTGCTACCTTGCTCAGTTTATTCTAGGTGTCTTTTGGTTGAATTTTTGGGTTCTTCTATGTTAGAGGATTATATCCTCTGCAAATAATGATAATTTGACTTCTTTCTTTCCTATAAATATTCCTCTTATTTCTTTTTCTTGCCTAAATGCTCTTTTTTGGGGGAGCACTGGGGATCAAACACAGGACCTTGCACTTATGAGGCAGCTGCAGTACCACTGAGCTAAATCCCTGGCCCTAAATGCTCTTGCTAATGTTTTGATTACTATGTTGAACAGGGTGGACATCTTTATCTTGTTCCTGATTTTAGAGGGAAAGCTTTCAGCTTTTCCCCATTTAATATGAAAAACAATGTTTTTTGGTACCGAGGATCGAACTTGGGACCTTACACTTGTGAGGCAGGCAATGGCACCACTGAGCTAAGTCCCCGGCCCTGATAGTGACACTAGATTTGTCATAATGGCTTTTATCATTTTGAGATAAGTTTCTTCTATAACTATTTTCTTCAGTGGAGTGTGTGTGTGTGTGTGTGTGTACCAGGGATCAAACTCAGAACCTTGTACTTGCCAGTCAGGCGGTGGCACCACTGAGCTAAATCCCTGGCCCCCTTCAATGTTTTTATCATGGAAAGATGTTGGATTTTTGTCAAAGTTTTTTTTTTTTT